AGCACAGGGGGATACACTGGACGAAACCCGGGCGTAGCTAGTGAGCTGTTTGTCTGCGGGGCCCACCCGCACTGACTTGACCTCATTAGCCACGCTCCCCACCGGACTAATCACCCCCCGGAACTACCAACAGGCCCATCCGGGCCCAACCCAGTGACCCGCCTGTAGTGGCAGGCGGCGCGGAAAACCACTTAAACAGGCCGTGGCCTGGAGAAGTCACCCCGAGATCCTAGCTGGGGTCTACGAGAAGAACCTGAAGAGATAAAATCTCCTTGAGAAATGATTTCCTATCTATTCGATAGATGGCGCTGAATGACTGACATAAAAAGATAGAAATGAAAATATCTGGCTTGCTTTCTATAAGAGAGAGAGAGAGACAGACAGAGAAAAAAGTGCAGCAAAAAGTGTCGTGACCAATTTTCGTAAGAATTTTTTCCGTCTAGCCCCCTTTCACAACTCGCGATAAGGAACTTCGTTCCAAAAGTTACTGGAAAAAGAACAATTTGCAATAAAATTTTGAATAACACATATTACAAACTTATTTAAATTATTTATTATTGCATAATATCTTTTTTACTCTAAAACATAATAATGTAATGACAAAAAGAAAAAATGAGTAGACTTAAAGTGCCAACAAATACAAATTTAAAATTTACAGAAACATCAGTTTCTGTAAATGTTTGAGTATTTTTTTTATCACGTTTCCTGTATTTTACTTGATTATGACCATTGACAAAATGTTAGAAAATATAATAGGTCTTTACCTATGAAATTGCCGTTTTGTATGCAATAAGTGAAAGTACTTATTTTTTCAAACTTTTTTATTTCTGTTATTCGAAGTAATCACCCATACAATCGGCGCATCTTTGCCAACGCATTGGCAGTTTATTGATGCCCTTCTTGTAAAAATCAGCTGGACGGGAGGCAACAAACTCTTCAAAGGCATTTTGTACTGCCTCTCGGGAATTGAATTTTTTACCCACTAAAAAGTTATCCAAATTTTGGAAAAAGTAAGTCGGTAGGTGTAATCTAGAGGTTATAATCCAATTTAAATTACACACACAAAAATAATATACGCTTTTCATAAGTAGTCCAACATTTTTTACTGTATATAAAAAGAAATACATTCAATCAATTTGTAACAATATAAATGCATTACCTAGAAACTTACATTCTGTAATGTAAACACAACTTTTTCAAACGTCAATACGAAGCGCAAATAAGTACCACTCTACTCTTTAAATAAATATTCACACATTACGAAGCCTCTACGAACTCGTAGTGAATGTCTCGAAAGTTTTCCCGTAGGATACAACGTAGCTAACGTTCGTATTCACAATGTATCGGGAAGCCATTGTCGTATATCATGTATCCAGGTATCTGAAGGGGCCAACTATTCTCTTCACTAGATAACCTGTTTTACTTTGTAACATCGTAAACTTTTAAATGGTAGTTTGGTGTTTTGGTACATGCATATTATTATGTTTTGTTTAATGTAATTTTGTGTTACTATTCTGTTCTATTCCGTTCTTTGTTGTTTTATTGAATTTGTAAAGGTCGTTATTTGTAGCCTAATTATATATAGGATTAATATTTATGAAGTCTTGAGCTAGGGTATCTACATTTTTTATCAGATTGAATTTAGAGTTGGTATTTTTCATTTCATAATGTAAACAAGGACTATAGATTCTGCTATGACTGTAGATGTTGCTATTAACGCAAAAATATTTTACATGTCTCATTTCTTTCAGGTTGCGTGTACGTCAGTATGTGTATAACTTATCTACTACTATTTCAAGTATTTGAAACTCAGATTCACGTCATTCAACATCCTTTCACTCAAACTCAATCGCAATTGTGTCTCTGCCATTAACCTTCATTTTACATAATTATTTATTCCTTTCAAAATACTAAAATGATATTGTTATCTCAACAAGCAGACTCCTCTTGTTACAAGTTAGACAGTTGAAAAGTTCTAATATTGGCTGATAGGGATAAGAACACTGGGTTTTACAATCTTGCGATTCAATCCACAAACTTTGTAGCAATACGTTAAGTTTACAACACATTTATTATTAAACAATAGTTCAAGTATTTGACAAGTGTCTAGCCACTCATAATATAAGCTGAAATTACAAAAGTTGACATTTAGAAAAGTATCTTTGCAATTCAACTGTAACATAAGGCTAAGTCACTCTTAATTAAATTTGAGCAAATTGTATTAGTATAATAGAATTTTATTGGAACGAAGTTCCTTATCGCGCGTTGTGAAAGGGGGCTAGACGGAAAAAATTCTCAAGAAAAGTTGTAACGACACTTTTTATGTCAGTCATTCAGCGCCATCCATCGAATAAAGAGGAAATCATTACTTTTCATCTCAGTATTTATTTTGAATTGTCACTTGTCAGTCATTCAGCGCCATCTATCGAATAGATAGGAAATCATTTCTCAAGGAGATTTTATCAATGTATAAATTGTTTTAATTAGAAACCAACTGAAAAATATGTAGGTAATAGCCGCTTTCATAGATGGCGTTGTAATTAAAATCGCGTCGAATCAGTTTTACTCGATCGTCACAACTTCGTTCCTATCGGGTGTCCCACGACACCACACGGCTTTTTTTTTTGGTATTTAGTCTATTTCAAGTTAATTAAATAAACATTATAAAGTATAATTAGTAAAAATATATTTTTAATATGATACAAAATAAAAATATATTTCAATAACAAAGTTTCACCCAAATTTTAAATCACGTCATTAGAATGTGACTATTCTATTCAGTGAATGAACATTTTTAGGTGCTAATTTGGTGAGCAAACAAAAGCTAAGGCCTAATGAGGGGCCTCGCGGGTCCGTAGACAAACTTTCTTATTCAACTGAAGGGAGGCCCCGGGCTCTTCCGCTCGGTCCATTTGCTTGTTTATCCTGGACTTAGGAACCCAATTCTATTTTGAAAGAGAAAATAATGTCGCAAAAGCTTTACAGCTGTGTGCAAAAGTTCGTGGTATGGTTAACTCGCTAAGAAAATGTACTTCTATGTGCTTGTTCTTTTCTTTTCTCTAGATCAAACACAATTATTTACGGCTTCAAACTCTTTCTGATAATGGAAGATTAAGAAAAGTTTACAATGAAAATGGTTTATTTGGATAATATACATTTTGTTATTAGTGAGTTTGGGGTTGAAACTTGATCAGGATGCTTTACGGTTATATTTGGTTTCCTCTTCAATATACATCGCATTCGTATGTGATATACTCAATTAGACAATTAACGTATGCATTTGTTGGTAGGTATGTATAAATATGTGTTTTGTGTGTTAATATTCGTTGGTTCGATTCCCATCCAGGACAAATGTTGTGTGATGAGCACGGTCATTTGTTCTGTGTCTGGGTGTAATTTATCTATAATATATATCTATTTTAAATTATACAAGTATGTTTATCAGTAGTATATAATCGTATTATCGTATAAATACTCTTTGTACGTGTAACGTCTGTTGAGTGATCTAGGAACTGAGGCGGAACCGTTCCTTCCTAAGGAGAGGCCTATGTCCAGAAGTGGACTAGTAAAGGCTGTTGATGTGATGTGATGTGTGTTTATCAGCAGTCTGGTTACCATAGTACAGGCTTTACCTAGTTTGGGATCAAACGGCCACGTGTGAGATATATTATTTATTTGTCTTGTTTTACCTCTTTTAAATTAATTAGTAATTGACCGGACAAAACTCATTGCACCTTCAACTACTACTGTCTCTCCAAAACATTTTGATCCATCCTAAGGTTGCCTGGAAAGAGTTTTCCATCTATCTATCTACATCATCAACTGAACAATAAATACTTAATGATGTTATTATCGGACTAAAACTCTAAGCCTTTCTCGGTATCCAACTACAGTTATGACATAATACAATTTGGCATGTCCAGTTTAAATAGCGTGTAAAGCTACAAATGGTTTTCCGATAAAAGTCAAAATACAAGGAAGGAACAAGGAAATTCTTACCCTGGGGCGACCGGCCGGCACGTCTTCGCATGCCTAATTTAATCCTCAGCTTATTGAAATAAAAACGACATAGGTTTTCGACAGGTGCCGCAAGCGTCGAACCCCGCGGGGTACCGTGCCAAGGGAGGGGAGGGTCACAGGTGGTCCCGATGGTCGCAGCGTCGTTAAAATTTACATAAAGTCTCAATCCACGACGACGGGCGCCACTGCCCACCCCACGTTTATGCTACATTTAGTAATTTTATGATAATTTCGAAAACCGTACCGCCACCCATCGCATTATACTAATAGAGGAATTCTCCCGAGAGCACCAAGTTATGTCGGAAAAATTCGACCGCCTTCAAAATAATAAGTTTCGGTTAATAAATCCTGTTCAGCGCGAAATGAACATAAGAAAAAATTAATAGCAGATGTGTTGTTGAGTTGTACAGGGGAACGTGAAGCCTCGGGGGCCGCTGGCCAGTGCGCTGTTACTGACTTTGAAACACATAAATTCACTCGTTGCGCTTTGATTTTTTTTGTATATTTTTGATTAATAGCGCATAAGTCAAAAGCTTCACGCGTGGAAATTTTAATACGTATTTTAGAATACTTCAATATTCGCCCTCTATAACATCCCTACTTGGGTATTTAGGAAATTAGGGAGTTTGGAAGCTTTAATTAGCGTATTTACTAATACGCCCACCCTTATGCACAAACAATTTTAGACATTTTAAATACTACGTCACGAATCAGATTGAATTGTACCGTGGTTTTAATTGGTGGTTTAATGTTTGGTCTTTGATTAAAACTTTAATTTTAATAAAAATATTTGCTTTCCTGTATAGTCATATGCATTTCTAATATTTTGTACACTATAATGAATTTATCAAGTAGCTAAAGCTATGATAATAAACAGTAAACTTTGGTTAAAAGATGGTTATAAAAATAGTATTGTTATTATTACTCAGAATTAAACTTACACTTACATTTAAATTAATGTTAATTTTTCCTTGTTGCAGTCAAACTTAACGCATCTACCTCGCCATGAATACGTTCCAGGCATTGGTATGGGGGTCGCTAAATGCCCCTACGACCCTGCAGATAATTCAACAGCATTATGGGTAGAGAAAGGCAACCCTGGTAGCCTACCAGCCTTATACTCAGGAACCAACGCAGAGTTCACTAAGGCCGACACTGTAATCTTCAGAACCGATCTTCACAATCTGACAACTGGACGACGGGAATTCGCTTTCAAGAGGACCTTGAAATATGATTCTAAGTGGCTTGATAGTAAGTTAAACCAAGATTATATGCGTATATATTGAAAACATTAATTTAAATCATCAAATATCAATTTAAATTCATTTGCAATTGATTTTAACATTCTGAATTGCATGTTATATTTCTTTCGATTTTTGTAATTTTGCATAAAAATGGATTTTTTAGGTTAAATTCGTAAGATAAAACTTTATAAGACTCCAAGGCCTGTAAGATACTACTGGTCATTTATTATCTCCCTACCGAAATGCTCTAGACCACGGTCGTTGAGGTTATTATTTTTATTTAGATGTAGTGATAACTGTAAAAAGTTATAGAGTATCACATAATTTTGTGATGACCACGCCTCAACCAAAAACTACTCACATGCATCTCATCATATCTTTTTGGTCTACTGCGCTCTGACCCAATCAATCGAATTGGTAGGGTTATCAAAATTAAATCTGTTTCGAAATAAACGTGATCATTGCTGTTTAACAATGGTTTGGTATCCAATAAGCTGAAATCGGGACGGTAATCATTAGGACAAATGTTACTATCATCAACGCTAACACGATATTCACGGAAATTGGCCTGTTTGCGATTAAACAATGGAAATTAAACTGTTTTCGCTCTAATGGGTACCGATGTCTCCCGGATCTGTACGTTGGATGTTCCAATATCAGCTAATTAGCATTAAATTTAACACACTATATTCAACATTATATTTTTATATTCCTTGATTTTTAAACCCTTGTCTTCGATTGTTAACAGTTAATTTATTTTTTTGATATTTAATTTGATTTCGATACATTTGTTTAGCAGTCCTCCTGCCCTTTTTCTGCCTAGAAAACGGGCTTTATAATCTTCCTTTTATTTTTATTAAAATTTTCATATGTATTTGTACTATAACGTCTACCCGAAGGTTCATTTTTGTAAACTTTTCATAAAGAAAAAACCTTATACTTGTAGATATAACAAAGATAAATTTAATGTTGACTCTTTGAAAATATTATTAAATAATTGCACTCAAATTTATTATCAATTTTCGAATTGAACGAAATATCAAGTGAAATTAATATTTATAACCAACACCTTTGTAGCACAAATGGCTTAATTGTTCTGATTTTAGTACGAAATTCGAATTTGAACAAATGGGACTCTAACCCTTTCGCCCGTTTATTTGCAACCAGCGAAATAGAAATTTAGCTTGTATACGAATTTAGGCAAATTTTGCCTAATTTTCGTTAATATCGTCGTGTTCATTACACTCGGCCCTTTATTGCTAACGTTTCGAATGCCACTAACAGTTAATTATTTTCCTTTAATTTTCATTTACTAAGTCAACCCTTTTCAGTATTCATTTTATTTGCTAAGCCTTGTTAAGAATAAATTGAACCACTTAGATCGCTTATAAAATTGTTTGCAACAGGGAAACTGCAAATTATTTTCGTTGTAGTAAATGAATTGATTAGGATTAGGCCGCCCAGGATTAAATTATCCGGGAGTTGATCAGTGCTAGACAGTCTCTATTGCCTCAAAACAAACATAGATATAGTAAACCATCTTGGCTACGTGTGTATTATTACAAAACATTTATACTTATTTGAACGTTATCGCAATTGAAAAGATTGAATTAGTAGCCATATTAATGTATATTAATTTGCAGAGATGTGTGTAGTGTCACATAAATGACCTATTTTATTGAAGTCAAATAAATTTTGCTGTATGGAGTTCAAAAGCCCTGAAGCCTTATTAAAATCTGATTCTTAAGCTTTATGTTAACCGGTATTATAATGTATGATTTAGATGATATTATTCAACAGTGTGAATAGAGATATTGCGAGTAAGGCGTGTGTCCGTATTATGTAAGCCGTGCCACGTGGCATTTTCATTATGGAACCAACAAATAAGCACTTATTAATGCCGGCAATGAACGTCCCTGCGTGACATAATTGTCACCCACGGCTTCATCTAATATTTAATGCATATCATATGGAATAACAGCAATTTGATAGTACGGAATTAACTGCGATTGTGGGAACGCACGCCCGTAATGGCCGGAATACACAAAATTTATATTCATAATTCACTAAATTATTTTCCAGCTACGTGGCTCTATCGTAATTTGACTTGACAACTAGTGTTACGCTAAAATTACAATGGCTGTTATTTATTGATGGCTTCGTAAGTTAGTATAGAAGTTTTTCATTTGGTGTCATTATTCTGTAAATATTACTTACGCAACTTCTAAGTACTGGAAATTTTGAGGCAGAACTTATTTACATAATAATAATAGAAATCTTTATTTACCAAAAAAAAAATTGTCGGTTTTACAAGTGTAGGACACATGTAGTTTTAAATACTAAATGCAATAAAAATGGGTGTAGTACTGTCCACCTAAATAGGGTACAGATTAGTCTGTGATAAGGAGGTGTGATAACATACGTTACTGATTCATGAGCACATAATTCATTTACATAAGTATGTTGTAAATGTTAAGGAATTCATATTCGAGGTTGTTGTTACAGAGCAGACAGACAGTCACTGAAAGTTTTTTTAATACTATACGCATTTAATTTTATTTTTATAACATTTTTATTCCTTCCAGAACCAAACTTTGTGGGATCTTTTGATGTGGGCGACTATGTTCTCTTTTTCTTCCGTGAAACTGCCGTGGAGTATATCAATTGTGGCAAAGCTGTCTACTCGAGGGTAGCCAGAGTATGCAAGAGAGACACCGGTGGCAAAAACATCCTAAGCCAAAACTGGGCCACATATCTGAAGGCAAGACTCAATTGCAGTATACCGGGAGAGTTCCCATTTTACTTCAATGAAATACGTAAGTATTATCACTATATGCCTATTGGTTTTTTATTAAATGCTATAGAAGTGCTACGGCTCCTATCTTCTTTTAAAAAGCTAACTTTATCTACTATGTAATTTACTAATGTACTATATAAGTACTTAGACACATGTTTCGTTTTGATTTGTAAAAGTTGAATACAATATATTTTAAAAGTACATCAAAACATAATCATTACATTTAATTGTGTGATTTTAAAACAATCAGATATTCTTGTCTTTATCAAACATTTGTTATTCTTTGCCTAAAAGTATGAGAGGGTTATGTATGTATGTATAATACAGTATGTATGTATACTATGTTTCGGTACTTTAAAAAAAGGTTATTGCCAACATTTGCCGAAATATACATACACTGCCGTAGAACACTTTCCGTAGGTAAAGAGCCCTTAAAATTTTGTGTTACCTTTCCTTACATTCAAAGCAAACAAATATTGACAATCAGTCTCGCAAACATTTTCAGCTCCAAATTTAGAAGTGCATAGTGTGATTTTACGGGAGAAGAGTCTAGCCGATTCGTTGTGCATTTCATGTGGGGGTTCTCCCAGACTGGTCATTTAATATTAACCATTCGGGGTTCCACCGGTTGAGATTCCTCCGTACGTTTTTCACGCGCCCCACTACCTGGTCTGCATTACTCATGAGGATGTAATAGGTATACAAGCATTCAAGTATTTGCTGTGTATGTGTTATTTACATGTCACTTCGAGCGCAATTAGGTGCGCGAGTTTGTTGAACGTATTTTTTTTATACAGGAAATTGGATTTCGTTCCGTCTTATGTACTCACCGTTAAAGGGTAATCACAATTTACATAGCAGATGACTTAAAGTTATTTATTTAGTGAACAATACAATTTAAACTTGCAGTTTTCCCAAATCCCCTATTTTTTTTATTGAGAAAATCGGCACGGTGTACGGGGTTTTTTACTGTAATCTTAAAACATAAGTAGATACTTAGCTTGCTTACTATATACCTATGATGTAATTATTTATATTTTTTCTTGTTTACCCCTGTAGAAAGCATCTATAAAGTACCCGGTGACGACACACGATTCTATGGAGTCTTCACGACGGCTTCCACGGGTCTAATGGGTTCAGCTATCTGCACGTTTACGATCGGAGACATTCAAAAAGCATTTGAAGGGAAATTCAAGGAACAGGCTTCTTCCAGCTCTGCCTGGCTACCCGTTATAAGCAGCAAAGTCCCTGAGCCAAGACCTGGCACTTGTGTCAACGACACAGCGTCTTTACCGGACACAGTTCTCAATTTTATAAGGTAATTACTGAATCAGATAATTCAGATTTTTCATTAGTTTACACTTCATATGCTTTATGATCACTATGGTTTTTGCTGATTATACTTTTTTTTCTACATAATTATAGGAAAAATAGGTAGATACATATGAATTGCATTTGTAAAAGAGTCATCAATGGCACATATCTACAGTTTGTGGAAGTGAAAAGAAATCTTTTTAAAAAAGGGACCTAGCACGAAACATCGAATTAATTTCTTTTCAAGACCGTCTCGCTTGGGATATGCAAAAAGAATAAAAGGCTAGACTGTCGTTATTGTAACAAGCGCGCTGGACGTAAACAAAGTAGAAAATCGTCACTTAAAAACGTGAAACATGATCCTGTCGCTGACGAGGTCTCTTGCGTTTCCAGAATTCCACGCTCATTGAAATCCACAGGCACTTTTATCTGCGACACGTCCTGTTAATTATCCAACGCTCTCACCCCGAGAGCGTTCAATTATTTTTTTCCCTTTTCCATGGTCCTCATGTGGAAACGTTGAGATTTTAACACTTCACCTGAACTCGTCTGCTGAATATTGTAAAATATTTTTTATTCATTACGAAAGTGGAGATTTTAATTAAATGCATTGTATTATACTCGTAGTTGTGAACGCTAAAGTAAAGACGTGTAGTCCGATTTAACTGTTGCGTTATTTTTCAATACACTGTACCATTGCTATTATAATTTTCCACTGACTTAGGTAAGTCGGGTTCTCATTGGTATGTTTACAATACAGTGATGCCTATCGATTAAGTCTGACATGTCGTTACTTTAGAACGTATGTAATATTTTATGAGGGAGTATGTGTCACGGCAGTTGACTATTTGCTTATAGTAGTTATCTTAGTTCTAAGTATGGCACACTTTGCTCCTTTGCACTTTTTTTCTCGTGGCAAAAACTACTTAGTGATTGGTACTGTCTAAATCACATCATCACGTCAACAGCCTTTAATAGTCCATTGCTGGACATAGGCCTCTCCTTAGTAAGGAGGTTTAAATCACTGAGGACTGAAGAGATTTAAATTACTGTCAAATTAAAAAAGTTTTGCGTTATGAAAAACGAAAACTTGTAGCCAATCTCGTATTCCTTTTTTATTAATGAAATTAGACACATCTACAGTTTAGCTATCTCGCAAAAGGCGGCCCTTTTAATACTCCTAAGAACGATATTCTTACTGTAATTAAATGGTTGTTAAATAACGTCAGATCTTAGTAAATTACTTTAATTATCATTAAACCAGATTCTGAATTACAAAGGCCGGCCTTTCTCATTGTTTTTGGAATTTAAATCTAGACATTACAATATTCTAACAAAGTTTAATTTTAGTTATTTATCTAAATATTTTATTGTAATGATAAATTGTACCTAATTATTGTAATGTAATGTTATTGTACAGACAAAACAAATAACAAACAATACAGCTAGCTTAAAAAAGCCTTTATTAAATGTAAAATAGAACAAATATTTTTTAGAGCTTGGATTTCAGTGAAAAAAAAAAAATTTAATGCATACTAAAAAGTACTAACTTGGTTAGAGTATACAAGTCTACTGAAAGGGGATTTCTAAGGTAATACTAATATCTATGTAATTTTTCTAACAGATCTCACCCATTAATGGACAGCGCGGTTTCTCACGAGAACGAAAAGCCAATATACTACAAACGGGACCTTTTCTTCACGAGGCTAGTAGTAGACAGAGTCAAAGTTGACATGATGGGTCATCCACTTGACTACACAGTCTACTATGCTGGCACAAGTAAGTCACTTAATTACAACAACAATATTTTTTTGTGTGTTTCTGGTATTATGAACCTACAATATTTTATTACTATTTGGCAGGCTTATACCTAACAGTGTTACAAAAATCAAAACAATGACACCTTTAGCACTACATAGTATTAGAGTTTCACCTACAAGACGTCACAGACCAATCAGTCAAATTATAAATTAGTAAATCCACACATGTAAACTGCTCCGACTAAACTGAAGGAGGACTGAGAAGAACGACCGCCCAAAAGTTCTATGAGTGTGCATAAATTTCACAAAGTCAGTTTCAGACTTAAATAACAAAATTATACTCTTTGTATGCAGTCCTCAATATTTTCATACATAAATATTGTCAACTCATCAGCTAAAAATGTTTATTATTTATACAATTATACAGACTAATGACATTAATTTTTACATAAGTACTAATATTTAGCATACAAATGTCGTTCGTTAATGAAAAAAACCAAGTGTCTGAGAATGCATTAATAGGCACGTCACGTCATGTTCCAGACCTTACTAACACAGGATAATGGCAGTTTTATGGATCTAAAAAATAAAAATATACCATTCACGTCCGATGCTTGAAACAATTAGCGAATACCGTAACGCAAAGCAACAGTCCCAACAATCAGAGTACGGATACGAAGGACATAAAATTTCATAAAAGCTTACAATTTAAAAAATGCCTTCCCACTGGGAAATTAAAAGTGGTGGGAGTGAAAGTGGCACAAAGGCCATAATTCGTCTCGTCCGTGACGGGTGGACGTCGGGTTCGTCTGGATGCCATCGGTGTTTTACCTACACCCTACTCCAATGCTATGAAACTGGGAATTTAATTCCAAACATGAAAAACAGATTATATGTATATTGTTTGCAGCCAAATAGCGTGCGAAAACTGTGTACCTAGCTCAAAACTGCAATCGGTACCTTAATTTCAGTGACTACTAACAGCGTGCTCTGAAACATATAAAATCTGTACACAGATTGATTTTAAGCTATGAACAGTGATTAAAAATCGATACTAGCCCTATTTATAGACTGTCTCACACTGTTATAGACCAGCACCTCTGAGAGTAGTTGGTCCACTACATTGGACGAGTGGAGATACCAAACATAATTTAATTTTCTACGATATACAGGTTTTCTAGCTTTATTTCTTATAGATAAGTTTATCGTTCATAAAGTTTTAAAATCCCTTGCATAAAGTATCCAATGGCTTGGATGGTACACTAGACTTATTAATTTTAACTGTAAATACTGTACGTTACCAACACTTTTTTTTAAATTACTTTAATATGTACATTACGTAGCCAGGAAAAAGTATTATTCCATTTATTACATTCACATTTTCGTAGCGTGCACTGTATTGTATATCAGGATGGTGTGTCTACGTATTTGAGTGTAAGCCACATAGAGTCAACGTCACATTTTCACTGTCGCATAAATTCGGTCCGCCTCTGCATCTCTAAACAACGACTCCAAGTGGTAATTTTCGCCTATGTTGTTGCAATTTTCGCCAATTTTCCTGGAAAATCGTTACCGGCCAAAACGCTGTAGCAAGTGGATTAAACTCACGTAGATATCTAACGAAGGGGGGGTTCGTTTACGGAACAACTTTTACGAAAGGAGGAGCTACGTTTGAGTTAGCGTTTGAAATGCTTGTGTGTAGAATATTAAATTGTTTAAACGTTACCTTTGACTCATCCCTCAGCAGAATAGCCACATACGATAATAATTACTCTAACTTCATCAACACAATGTAACTTTAAACTGGTGCTTCAGGAATAGCTCCTAGTTGTTAACAGTATTAGCAATAACGGGCTTTGATTACACAACTTGAACTAAACCACAAACAGACTTAACGTAAGCCTGTTGCAAAACTATATAAAACATATCATGACAGCGTATATTTAAAACCACAAAGAAAAGAGAATCGTCCAAAAATCCAAAGCGCTCTTAGTTCACTATTATTTACACTGAAGCGCAAAATAAGTTGCACGAAATTCCGTCACAAAGAGCCCGAGGCGTCCCATGAAAAAGGACAGTTTACTCTTTCAATAAAGAGTGCGCTCGTGCGCTGGTGTCTACCGCGGCGATATTGCCCTACCGCTTACTACATTTTCAGTACTTACCGTGTTATAATATGCATTAAACTGCACTGGCAGAAAGTTGCGACGACTTTCGAGGTGCTAGCAGACAATGAGAAATGAGCGTATGATGCTCCCGCAATGCGGCCCCCCGTCTCGCCTCATTCCATTTGTTTTATCACGCCTAAATCACTGTTGCCATACAACTTTTGAACGCTCTCCGATGTTGATAAAAGTTTGACAGCGACTGTCGCGTACACGCTCAAGGATCGTGTTTGTCAATGGAAGGGATCGGAGGTATCAAAGATGTTAAGAGTATTTAGAAGTTAACGAACTTAATTAAATTCCCCGAGTTAGACGTCGACGCCGCGACTCTTTAGTATCAAGGGCGCCTTTGTAAACAAACGAACATATTAATGTTAACGTATCGCATGAATACAGACTGTTTTAACAACGAACTTGAAACGTAATTACGACGCGTTTGTTCAAAAAGACAAAAGAAAGCTGCTTGTGTTCTCATTCTACTATCGTGGTTTGTTTACGATTTAAACGTAAATTTGGGCAGGCATACATGGAATCGAACTACGTAGATAGCTTTGACATAAGGTATATGCTGTGGTGGTTGGGCTATTAAAACGATTTAAAATTCACAAAAGGCTTTATTGCCGAACTGGCCTTGAACCATAACAGCAATTTGATGACGTAATTATGCACGCTCAAAACTCAACGCTGGATATTTGGATAGATATTGAATTTCGCGTGTAGCACGTACTGTCTACCTACCTAACTTTTCAACTCGCTTTTAACTAGATAACAGTATGAATAATGGATTAGTAACATTTATTGTTGATATTTAAATTGCTTATTGCTTTGAAAGATACGTCAATACGTCAAGTTAGGTTACTTAACTAATAATAATGCTCTATTTGATATTTTATATGGATGTAAATGTTGATGGTGCATGCATAGCCTAACTGGTAACAAACAGTAACTGGAATCTATGAAGTCTTATCATCGTAATTTCGGCAGTATTATTTCTATACATAGGCAAAAAAACATAAACATTACGCTATTAGTTCTGATCCACCGCGAACTTTTCGAGATGGAAGTCGTCAGTCCTCCGTCTGTTGGTTGCAATTTCAACAGAAGTTCTTCACTCATCTGTAAACTATTGAAAGCATATTTTGAGCACATACTATCCACATAACACAGTGCTGAATGCACACACTTTGGTGGGGAGTCTTGTATAATTGAACTTGAAAGTTTAAGAATTATTATTGCACTGTGCACCACGTTAAAGAATAATTATACGGTTACATAGCAACGCTTACCTATATTGTAAAAATGTAGGTTTCTGTTATACAAAACCTTGTAAATAAAACCATGAATGAATTTAGTTAATAATTACTAGAACTGCTTTTAATTAATCCAGATCTTTGATTCATTCCAAATCCTTAAAATTTAGAAAAAGAATTATAAAACATCGTTTGGCAATAGGTACCTCTACAAAGTTGGCATTTACAGCAAAGGGACTATAATTATTATTTGGCCAGCCCAACTATTAAATTATTTATTTTATTATCTTTTCATTATAATTTCATTATACTTATAATTTCATTATAATTCTAATGAAGTTAACCAAAAATATTCTTTTTTAATAGTTCTGTTCTGAAAGTACATAAATTGAGCTTATTTACTATTCAAGTAATATCTAAAATAATGTCAGTAATAATTTATTAAGTACCTTATGTTGCATGAAATATAGCGATACGGGAGGTATATCGTACTTATAAGTATCGGAAATCCATTTGCGTAAGTGCATTTAGTCCAAGTTTTGCCATAAACATGAAATGCGGTCTATGCAAAATGATATGTTAAGGTGTGGGTGAGGTATAGCTCGGAGGGGTTTTATATAGGTAAGTTCCTGCTGTGGCCGCAGTCGCGAGGAGTTTGTGTATCAGTGTGTTAGGAACGAACTATCCCAAACGTAGGTATGCTTCGTGCTTCATCGACGTACATTGCCCACAGGACGAAAATGAACAATATTTATTGCCGAGTTGCGGTACAATATGCCGGAACGGAATTTCCAAAGTAATTTATAGTTTACAACACCTTGCCTTCGTTGCTCCGTTCTGAACTCATGCCTTGCTTCAATTTTGATTTCATGTCGAGCATAGAGGAACATTCTTTAAATACTTTGGAACCATTAGACAGCGATACTCTTTATTTATTGTACATTGCCCGCAAAGTTAAAAATAATATCTCCATTTGATTTTGTTAGACAGAGAAAATTAACATTTATTTTTAAACAATAATTAACATAAACAATCGCACCTATATAAACACAAAGTTTTTTTTTTAAATTAGTTATACCTATAATTAGCATTCGAAACGCGTTCAACGGGAATAAACATTGATTTTTTATTCCCCCAAAACTGGAGGGAGGCCGCGGTTCCGGACGAGATTGGGAATACTAATGTGTTCACTTTTGAACGGTTATTCGCGCCCCGCTAACGGCGCCCAACGTTTTTTGCATAAAACATCTCATCAAAGGATTGCTAAGGTCTCGCAGTATATTGAATATCAAAAGGTGTACGAACGAGAAAGTTTCAGAAGGTGGGAGCGGTCGCGGCATCCCTAATATTGGCCACCGTGAACGATTTCTTTAAAAATATACCTATGGACGTGTTTAGAATAATCGTCTATTCAAAGGCTAAGCATGTTTATCTTGTAAAATAAAAATTTATTTGTTACATTGCAACTTTTAGATTACTTTTAAATGAAAAAAAAAAGCAATTTTTCACTTTATTTATTTTTTCTCCAGGGAATATAGTATAGGATAAAGACACACGGAAACCTCGCCATCCTTTACATTAAGAGACTGGCATAACAGGTAAAT